TCAGGGGACATCTAGACACAAACTTTAACAGCATAGTTCTGGGTATGGATAATGGCAAGATCCACCCTAGGTTTGGCTGGCACCACCCAAAATGTTGGTAGCCTAGAAGGGGTAAAAGCGAGAGGCAGCCTGCTGCTGCCGCCTCTTCACTGCTTCATTGCTTTGCTATTTTCTTGAACCTTTTCTCTTCTGCAAGGCCACTCTGTCATGCCACCCTGCCTTAGAATCAGCCAACTATAGGGCCGGGGAGATGGCTCAGTGGAATAAGCGCTTCCCTGGCAAGCGCAAGGGCCTGAGTTCAATCCCCGGTTCCGCAAAAAAAAAAAAAAAGAAGAATCAGCCAACTATGGACCAAAATGTCTACAAACTGTGAACCAAATAAACCTTTTCTCCTTTAACTTTGGGTGCTGGGTATTTTGTCTCAGCAATGAAAAGCTACTTTTTGGAAATATAAACTGATACACTGGTAGTAAATGCTATGTGAGGATTTGGGGGTTGGGGAATGATGCAAGGTCTTGCTATGTAGTTCTGACTGGCCTCAAACATGCAGTGATCCTCCTGCCTCAGCCTCCTGAGTGGCAGCATATATAGGTGGTCTGTCTATCAATATTTGTTTTAAAACAATAGCAAAAAAAACCCAATAGGAAATAGAAAAGCAAGGCAGAACCTCTAACTGCTGGCAACAATGTAATGCACTGCTTAAACCCTGCTAGCAGTGGTACAAATTTATAAGTCACTTTGGAAAACATTTGGCAGTATTTATCAAAGCTGAACAAAGAATATAGCTTAGTATTCCACATCAGGTACTCTCCATCAAGACATGTGTAAGGGGCTGGTGAGATGGCTCAGTGGTCCAAAGCACCTACTTAGAACAAGCTAAGCTAAGCAAAGCAAAGCACAGAGACCGCGGTTCAATCCCCCAGCACCACATGCCAGCCAGCCCGCCCCCTGGTGGGCAGAGCTGGCCACACACACACACACACACACACACACACACAAATAAATAAATAAATAAATACAGACATGTGTAAGATTGTCTATGTGACTATTTATAACAGCCCATACTGGAACCTGGGAAATGCCCAGCAATAGAACAGTGATTTAGGGGCTGGAGAGATGGCTCAGTGGTCGAAAGCACCTACTTAGAACAAGCTTAGCAAAAGCATCAGGGACCGCGGTTCAATCCCCCAGCACCACATGCCAGCCAGCCCTGCCTCCTGGTGGGCTGAGCTGGCCACACACACACACACACACACACACACTCACACACATAAATAAAATTAAAAAAAAAAAGAATTTTAAAATGTGATGTTAAAAGAAGACTCTCAAGAGTATGGTACCGGCTGGGGAGACAGCTCTGTGGTTACGTAGCTACAGAAGTCATGACAGCCACGCATGGTAGCACACACTTGTCATCCCAGTATTTGGGAGGCTGAAGCAGCAGGATTGCTGTGAGTTTAAAGCTGGCCTGGACTACAAAGTGTGTTCAGGGCCAGACTGAACTGCATAGTGAAATCCAGGCTCTAAAATACTAAAAAAAATAGAGAAGTCCTAACGTAACCCTTAGGAAGGAAAGTTTACAATTAGAAGGGGCAAAGAAGAGACTTCTGGGACACTGACAATGTTTTGTCTCTCTCTCTCTTTTTTTTTTTTTTTTTGCAGAACCGGGGATTGAACTCAGGCCCTTGAGCTTGCCAGGCAAAGGGTTATTCTACCGAGCCATCTCCCCAGCCCCCTGTTTTGTCTCTTCATTAGGGTGTTAGCTACAGGAATTTCATTTAGATTGTTGAGCAGGAAACACTGCATACGGTACCTTTCTATTCATAAACTATTCTTGTTCATCAATAAAATGTTTTTTTGTTTTTTTTTTAAGTGGAGTAGGTACTGGGGCTTTAACTCAATAGTACACTGTTTATATGCTATACTCAAGACCATGGGGTTCTGTCCACAGCACTGCGGGTGGGGAGTTGAAGATGGGCATCAAGAATTCATGAGGAGGGCTGGTGAGATGGCTCAGTGGTCTAAAGCACCTACTTAGAACAAGCTAAGCCAAGCAAAGCAAAGCACAGGGACCTCGGTTCAATCCCCCAGCACCACATGCCAGCCTGCCCGCCCCCTGGTGGGCTGAGCTGGCCACACACAAAATAAATAAATAAATAAATATTAAAAAAAAAAAAGAATTCATGAAGATCACCTGACTTCAGTATCTAAATTTGTGCTTGAAAATTTCCTTAATAATAATAAAGGCCTGGGGCTGGTGAGATGGCTCAGTGGTCTAAA